ATGCAGCTTTTGTGACTTATGTTCTCTTAAATGACTTTGGTCTCATTGTGGTTGGTTCTTGCTTGTATTTTATTTTAGGAGCAAAAGACTTCTCTTCATTTCCTCATGTTATTCCCTAAGCAGCAGTTCCCATGAGTTGTTTGGTTGAGCAGTTGGGTTAGAAACCTTGTAATCAAAGTGGTGACAACTTCAGCTTCACCTGTAGTAACAGCATAAGGTGGATCTCCACTGGAGCACAAACGCCAGCTGCTTCATCTCAGGAAATTCCTGGGGGAAGTTCCCCATCAGAAATGTCTCAGGCTTGTCCTACGTGGTGGAAGTTGCCCTTACAGTGGGATGCTTTTGCATCATTGGTGTTCAATGCTGCTGGATGAAGCCCAGAGCTTCAGTTGGCAGCGCAGGTTTGTGTTAACAACATTTTGGTTTCCTTAACACTATTCCCTGAAATACAGTGAAGCCCGTGCAGATGGCATAAACAGATCTCTGCCCTTATCCCACAGCTTCTTGCTCTTGTCTCCAGTGAGGTTTTGGTGCTTTCTAGTTAAAATGCAGAGGTATCTGGATGCTGCTAACCTGTGTTTCTTGGTTCCTGGGTTGGGTGCTAAACCAAGTTCAGAGTAAGCTGGTTTCCTTTACTAATGGTGTTGGGACAGTCCAAATTTGTAGCAGAGTGATCTCAAGTTTGCGAAATGAAATTAAATTTCATTAGAAGGCCTCTGATTTTCCATTGCTCACAGTGCTGGCATGTCTAAGTAGAGGCTGATCTGGGTGGTGGCTGCCAGAGCTTTGCAGGACTGTTGCCAGGCTCTCCTCCTCAAGGCAGGGTACCTGCAGCCCTGGTTCCAGGAGAAGGCAGGGTGCTGGGTGTAGATCTCAATGAGACCTCTTCAAGGTAAGAAGGTATAGCATGGCTCCTTTTGTGTAGCCTTGGAGGAAACTGAGTTGGGTTTTGGTTGTCAGGTACTTACTTCCCCTCCAGCTCCCTTCAGAGGGTTACAGCTGGAGAAAGGTGTGAAGAGAACAAATGGCTGAAACAGCTGATGGTGCATTAACTACCTTTTCAGCCAGTGTAGGAAAACCAAATAACTTTCCAAGGTATGTTTTTGGCAGGACAGGCAGAATATCTAAAGACAGAAGTCTCAATTCGTTGCAAAAAGAGGGTTTTTTTTTATTCTGCTGGAGACACTGGAGTCCTCCAGTAAAGCATGTAAGAAATAATCCCTGATGGTAACTGGTCACTTTGGTTTGAAAATAGGAACAGCTTTGTAGCCCCAAAGGAATTGTGCCTTGCTCTTCCTATAAAAGTGTGTGAATAGTGAGGAAGACTGTCCTGTTCTGTGAAACAACTCCAGTAAAACTGTCAAACAATGTTCTTGGAAGTGCAGCCCAAAAGAGGGCATCTCTATTATTATGAGGATGCTTCATCACTCTTCATTTACTACCATTGATGCTGGTATTTTGCTCAGATTGCCACTACCTTTTCTGTTTTTAAATGCAGTGCTGAAAGGTGTTAGATGAAATTTCATGCTTCAGCTGTTCAGAGGTCCTGTGTTTTCCATGTTGTCTCTTCTTTTCCCCCATTTTCTTGTGGAGTTGCAGTGACTGCAAGACATGATCAGTTTTCACATTTATTTTGTTAGTATTTGCCTTCTAGTGTATGGGAAAACAGCTCTTGATAAGAAGTACTATCTTTCCCCCCTGCCAAGTGAAGAATGTGGATTCTTGCACTTACCTTCATTTCTGATAGTAGAGTCTTGGTAGCTGCGCGAGTCTGTTTATGTGACCCTTCTATTGAGAGCCTCAAGGTTACCATCACCTGCTGTTGTCTCATTTCACACTTGTGCAGCTGTATAAAGTGTATGAGACTTCAGTCATTGGATTTGAGAGCCATGGAACCTCTTCTTCTAGCATAAGAGACCTCCTGTGCCACCTCTTGGAGTCTACTGTTGACTGTAGTATGGGGTTATTGCTTTTGTTTCCAGGCAGAAGGGGAGTATCAAAGTTGTGAAAAACTGTAATTAAATTGTGGCAAGGAGAGGTAAAAAATAAGTGCTGTTCTCAACAGCTTTCAAAGTGTTCCAGGCAATTCATGTGTCAGTTTACTGTCCCTTTGTGACATTAGGTTGTAACTACCCAGAACTGTCTCTCGTGCTTGGACAAGATGTGGCTCTTCAGTGTGTGGAACTGTAGCTCTAACAGCTGTTTCAAATATGCCTTCAGCTTTATCTGTGCATCAGGCATCAATAGCATTAAGCCTGCAGAAGCAGTAGTTAGTAGATTACCATAATACTGGTTTGGAGTTATAATTTTGCCAGTGTCACAAAGAGCTGCTGCCATGAAAAGGTTACCGTGCTGTATTAAAAATTCTGCCAAATGGGACAAAGATAAGGAAATGATTGTTTGTTACTCTAACTTATATTCAAGTAACAGGCATTATCATAGTTGAATGTTCCAATCAAGGCTATGGCCACTGGATTGGCCTTAGATAACTTCTTCTGTGGCTGCTCTCACCATTTTAATTCAGTATGGAGGTCCTTGTGTTGCCTAATCCTGTTGCTATGGGTAAGGTTGCTTTATGTTTTAGGTTACATCCTTTTTGGGATCACTGCTGTCCTGCTCAAATGTAAAGGCGTTACTTGTTTACCTTTTCTTTTTTGAGATGTTAATGGATTTACATATGAACTGTATTGTATTTGCATAAACTTTCTAGCTCACTCGAGGTAATTTCCTGTCAAGCAATTAGATTGTGCTGGAAACTCACCCCATTCAGGTGACTGGAGGATGGGATACTTTTCCAGCAGGGTCTCCATCTCTGTTGAATGCCAACTGAAAATGCAGAACAGTAACGAAAAACCAGTCCCAGCCCTGTAATCAAGTTGTCAATTTGGTTTCTCAAATGCAGAAGTAGAAATTGCACTTCTGATAATTTGACTTAACAGACAAATGATGAGTAATGAGTAGTGACAAAATATCCAAGTACATGAAAACTAACTCTTAATGAATTCTAAACCTCTAAAGGAATGAAATTATAAGTTTATATTTGCCTTCTCAAAGTAGTAGAGCTGTCAATGATATTTTAAACTAGGATTATAAAAGAAAAGCTTAAAGTCTCCAGGAGCAACACTTCTGTCATTCTGAATGTAGATTTAGAGCAGAGAGAAATGCTATTGCTAGCAAAATATGGTCAGCTTTCTCTCTTTCAGTGAAATCTGCATAAGCATGTGGTCTGAACAAGGGAAACAATGCCCTTTTCCTGGCTGATGATAAATTGTTTGCCATGAATCACTGTCTAAATGAGATGGCGTGAAAAGAAAATGAGAAATCTAATATGTTTTCTAGAATTCCCGTTATTCATTGATTAAATTAAATGATCCATCTGTACCTAAATATAATTATGGTCAAGTCATCAGTGGAGGAGGAGAAAGCTGAGTTGTCAGATGGAGTTAACAGTGTTTTTCTGAATGTGCAACTGCCTTGTGCATCTGCCCCATGTAGTAAAAGCTGCTTGAGAAAGGAGGGGATCATGTAGATGCTGCTCTTGCAGTTCTCAGCTTGTGTCTGCTATGTAAATGGCAATATGTTGATGTTACAGACTTTTATACCAGGTTTTGTGTTGTCTTGCAATATCCTCTTATGCTTTTAGATGTGGAGGATGAAAAGCTGTTTCTAAGCATGTGGTTATAGCTTGATTATTTAAAAAAAAACCAAAAAAACCCAAAACATACTCAAAAAAACCCAACTTGTGGAGCTTGTGGCTTTTTCTGTTGTATGTGTTTAAACTCAGACAGAAGCAGTGTTTTAGGCTGTATTGTATGGTCATGTTTTGTCAGCTTTCAGACTAACCAAGTAGTAAAAAGACTTCCGTTACAGTCTTGTTTTACACTAGGAAGGGTTGTAAGTGTGCATAGAATTCTGATCTGGTTTCAGATGTTGGATATCTTGCAAGAAAGTTTAATGCAGTCCTCCAGAAACATTGAGCTAGTGTTGTTTACATATCTGGATTCTCCTGTACCTCCTCCTTCCTTTTATTTGAAAGGTCGGTGTTAAATGACGATGTTTGAGGATGATGCTTTCAGTGCGGGACTTTGCAGCAGCTGCTGCTGGAGGCAAAGGAGGTGAGGCACCACAAAGGCAGGGTCCTCTGTAGCTCCTTTGAAGGACCTGACATGGTACAGACCAAGTACCCAGCTGGCATTTTGTATTTATGATTGTTTTGAATCCTCTGAATTTTTCAGAGGTGAGCCCTTAGGGGAGGAGGGAGGAGGCTTTAATAGCTGAATGGTCTTTTTTTTTTTTCTCCCTCCCGTTCTTTTTTAATTCTTTCCCACTGGAATCTCCCTATTTGGCTTCAAACTGCTTCAATAAAACCTTGGGGTATAATGCTTTTGGACACACCCTTGACAGAGGGACAGCTTCAATTACCTCAGCAGCCTTGATTTTCAGGGGAGACCACTGCTCTCTTGACCAGGGAGGATGGTCTTGATACAAGTGGGTGAGTTGATACTAATCAGGCTTCACTTCTCACTACAGTTTTCTCTAAACTGTGTTTTCATCTCTCAGTATGTGCCTAAATGTTGAGAAACGGAAGAGGCAACCAAGTGTGGTAGTGGTAATGAATTTTGCAGTTGAAGAACTGCTTAAAATTAGTGCTAAAGTAATCCCAGACTGTGTGTATATTTTGAGTGTCTGTCTTTTTAATGTTCAGAGTATCTTTTTGACTCAAATGGTGAACTGTTTTGCAATTTGCATGTTGTATGCCCACCATGTTTCAGCGAGGCCAGTGGTTAAGTTTTTCTCTTGAATTTAGGAATTATTTTCTGTCATAAGATGCATAGTAAAGCTGATGTGCACTTTATTCTTATATTTCTTGGCAGCTGTTCCTTGGAGTAATAAAGTAAATATTACATTATCAGTGTGGTCTAGTTATTTCTTCCACAGAAATACAGGAAAGCCATAATATAACTTAATTTCACAGTCTGACTGGTTTTTTTTTTCAACAGGAACTGTTCTTATCAGAAGTAGTAATGGCCACCTGATGCTGGTATCTCAACAGTCAATAGCACAGAACCAGAACCAGACACAAAATAACACAAGTGTGAGACCATCTGTGCCAACCAGCACACCTGCAATCAGAATATGTGCTGTTCAGGTAACTTCTCTCATAACTTTACTTGGCATAGCTGTATGTTATGTAGTTATAGCATGGTTTGCAAATAAGTTGTGGAGGGTTAAATAAGCGTTTTAACCCTTTCTGAGTGGGGGGATGGTGTTTGGTTTTGCACCAATAAACATCAATATGTGCTTTGCTTTCTTGCTTGGGAAAAAACTTGTGAGCTGTTACATATGGTAAGGTAAAGCTCAAATTAGTCAACTCGTCTCTGATGATGATAATGTAAACCATTTCAAGAAAAAAATGCCAGCCAAAATTGTCTCTGGTTACTGCAAGTATCTAAAACCTTGTGATCCTCTGTTGGGCCAAAGCTGAGTAAAGCTGAGAACCTTTCCCATGTCCCTAGGATGTTCCTCCTTCCCTGAACTCTGCTGGCTTTTTGCTTCCATCTCTTGTAGTGTGGTCAGCGTGCAAGAGTGAGGAACTACATAAAAGTAACAATTTACCTATTTCTTTAACCATTTTATTCTGATTATGCATTATCTCTAAAAGTCTCTGAATCTGTTATTGAATATTAAACTGGTAGACAAAGAGCTTGGTTGAGCAGTGTTTAAATTATATGGACTGTGTGAATGACGCCTGTATTGTTACTGTAAGAGGATATGTCTCAGTTTGTATCTGACCCCAACTTCACTGTCTGTTTTGTCATTGACTTGTCTGACAACTGTTCTCTGCCCGTGTGTAATTATTTTTTTATTTTTATTTCTTCAAAGAATTCTGGCACGCAGTTAGTAAAGAAAATAGCAGCTGCTCCTGTGAAAACATTATCTCAAACAACAAATGCTGTGGTTTCTACTGTTCAGACGCCTGCTGTAATACAGGTACTTTGCAAGCTTTATAGTGTGGTGGAATAAGTGACAGAAAGAACTAGAGAAAATATGGATGCGTTCTTGTTATTTCTAACTGTAATCTGGTTTTCAGTAAGCTTAGTAACGTTTGTCCTCATAACAAATGTTTCCCAAATCTGTTTTTTTAAATGCATAATTTAATTAGGCTTCTGTCAGCATGTGTCAGATAATCTTAGCCCACTACAGTAGAAAGCACATGAACAATGAATAAAAGAAATAGTTCAGAGAGCCATTTCCAGTGCTTTTGTACACTGTGACAGAGCTCCTTCAATCTTTTGCTAAATCTTCTCTGGGAGATGTGCTTCTGTTGGGGTTCACTGATTCCTTAGTGGGGAAAAAAGTATACCTGAGATGATGTTGGGGGAAAATGAGCTGTCTACACCAATCAAGCTGCTTTTCATGTGTATGATGTTTTTCCCCCTCATTATAAACTGAAGGAAGGTCATAGCTGGAGACCTGTTCTCTAACTGAGTGTGGCAGGTGGGTTCCACAGGTACAACTGTAAATAGGCAGTGGTTGAAAATGCCTCATTATTTTCAAGTAGTATTTTTGTCTTATTTCCTAGGTCTTCCTTTGCTTTTTTCTAGAGAAAAATGTTGTAGCTGTCTTCTGAAGAGGGTTTTATCACCTGCAGAGTATGAGATTTTTCCTACATATGGTTCATCCTCTTCTTGGGGCTGAGACTTCTGGATATGCATGTGGAATTAAAAGAAATTTTTCCGCAGATAGTATGTTCTGTTCGTAATCTGGAGGAGAAATGAAGAAGTCTGGCTTGTACTTGTATTTTGTGACAAGACTTCGAAGGAGACTGAGCTGTAGCAGTTGACAAAACACTCAGTAAATGAGCAAGATCGGTCATTCAAAAAAACATGCTGGATGTATGTTCTTGACCCTGAGGGTGTTTGAAGGGTTGGGGGATGTGTGTACTGGCAGTGGTAACAGTCTGACTAACAAGTTCATCCTTCTGCTGTTCTTCTGTATCAGCAACTGAACACTACTCACACTCTGTGCTCTTTTTTCACTTCCCTCTCACTACAGATGGATAATGTTGGGGCTAAAGTGGAAAACCCAGAGGTCTCTCTTATTACATTTTCTGTTTTGCTCAGAATGTATGCTTTGTGTCTAAATACAGTAATGGATATTCCTCACTTTTGTTTTGGAATACTAGCTTGCAAACCCTGTGTTTGTGATCTCTGCATAGAGGTCTTTAGGATATAAAAACAATAGTTATCTACTATACTACCCTTGCACTGGGGAAAAGAGATGAAGGTCATCCATCATCTGATGGATGAAGTCGCATGCATCCTCACACTCTCATGTGGGTAAACACTGAGATTCATCATGCTATTAACTTCTCTTTTTAAAACTTTTATCTGCCTTTAGCTTGGTTTTTCTGTACTTTAATTCAGTTTTGATGTAGTCTATTGAACTTGTGTTCTTCTGAGATATATAAAGACATAGACTTGGAGTATTTTTTGTAAGCTGAGGGTTTTTTTCCCCCCACTGTAGAAACTGGAACACTTGTAATGAGCTGTAGGGCTGGATTTAAACAGTAGGGATGACGACTCTAAGAAAAATTAATAGAGCTGTTTTGTTTGGAGTAGCTTCCTTGAAGCCCCTCTGCTTTGCAGAAGATTTCAAAGCCCTCTGTATGAGCTCCTTGTACAATGAAGAGTAAATAGATTTGCAATATGGATACATCTTGCCATCATGTGGTCATGTTGCTCTTCACCCTGGGATGGACAGGAGAAGAGTGCTGCAAAGGGAGTCATTACAAAAAGTTGATGGAACCATCTGGGGAGAGGATGGCTGAGCCCTTGAGTCTGATTTCCTTGGCAGCAATTCATTCAACAGTCTTAAAATAACTTCCTGATCTTAGTCTTGATAATTTTTGAGATCACAGGAGAGGAGTGTGGTGTGGAAGTATGATGTCACCACAAAAAGTCGTGGAGAGTGGAGAAGAAATAATATTTGGCTTGGTTTTGCATCTCCAGTCTTTTGTGAAATACAAGTTGGAACGCTCTCTGCAAAACTCTGTAGGTACTGACTGCAGGATTATTCTCCTCATCAGCGAAAATATTTCCCTTTTCTGACATTCCTGAATGTTTAAGCTCTGAGGTTAGGCAAAATTACCTGTGTGTTCTTATTTTTTACCGGTTTCCCAGATGGGGTAACAAAGCTGCAAAGTGTCTAATTAGCATCATGCTGCGGCACTTTCATTTAGATGCAGAGCACTTCTGTTGAAATGACTTCAAAATATGCAGGATTAATGCCATTTTTTGTGGTGACCGTTTCTCTGTTGCTCAAAGTGAGAATGAGAATTGTCAGTAGCCGATTGTTGACGGCACATGGCAGAAATTAATTCCCAGATATTCATTTTCCTGGGAAAAGGGTCCAGCAGACTTCCTGTTGTTTCCTCCCTCAGCTGATAAAATGCTGTTCTAGTCTTGATGTGTAAGCATGCTGGAATTTGCAAGAGATCAGCTCCTGTTTTCGACTTTTAAAAGCCCAGGGCATTGCAACTTGGCAGATCTGCACTGTGTCCCCTTCCGTCTTCCTCCTGCCCATCTGTTTGTGGGATTCTTGTGCCCAGTTTGCCTCCCTGTGGTCTCAGAGCTGTTGAGCCTCATCCTTGGAAGAGGCAGTGGTGGTGGCAAAGATCCTGCAGAGAGCTATTAAAGTGTTACCGACAGTGGGAGCCCAAGCTTTCTGGTACCTGCCTGCTGCTTTCATGTCAAGCTGGCAGCAGCTTGGGGAGGAGGGGACACCCACCCAGAAAAGAAAAATTGTAAATATGTGACAAAAGCATTATGGTTTTGCTTTAGCTTTAAAAGTTTGCTTATTAATTTTCCCTATCCGGAAAGACTGCTATTCTATGTGATGTCTGTCCCAGTTTTTATTAGTTTTTGTTTTATCCATGGTATGGTAAGTTAGACTCCTGTCTGACTCTCTTATGATTAATGCAATTAGCCAGTGTTAGTTGTGCCTCTTTCACTAAGCTGGGATGCTTAAATGGAGTCAGAATTAAGAGTCAGTGAAAGCCATTACATTGTGCAGATCTGAAACTAAAATTTGGACTACAAAACCAGACTTTCCCTTCCTCTTCACAGCCTTCACAGGAGGAAAGATGACACCCAACTTTAGGTTTCAGATGTTAACCTGGAACTCTATCTGTGGGTTCCTTCTGGCTTTTCAGTTTTTAATTTGAGGAATCAAAAGTAGTGGGTTTTTGCATGGGCAGATTCTTTTATTCATATTGTATTCTGTTGTATCAAATTAACTGTGTTGGTGTTTTGGGTATGGTTTGTTTGTTTGTTCTCTTTAAAGTCTGAAGTAGAAATACTTCAGTTTAGTGGGTTTTAGATTTAGTCTAATTTGCAAAGAAGGGAGGTATTTCTTCCTAAACCTTAATTACTCTCCTGTTGCTGCAGCTTCTGAATCTGTTGGTAAATTATAATGAGCTTTTAAAAAGAGGTCTCACAATAACTGGATTTTGTGAGAATTTCTGTCAGGGCAGAGGAGAAGGAGATCCAAATTGCTGCCCACGAGGAAAAAGCAGGAAGAACTTGTTAGATCCATTTGCTGAGCTGGCTGCTTCTGCTGGCACTTGCATCCTTCCAAAGTTGACATGATGTCTTTTGCCTACTCTGTGTGTGATAGGAAAAGCAAAGGGTGTTGCAATTGGGAGAGGAGCTTCAGGGCAAGACTGAAAGATAAATAATGACTTACGGTTCTGCTTGTCTTCAGAATGGTATCACCTGGCTTAGCATTGTCCAAAATCCATTAGTCTTAGACTGTAGTAGCCTGGCAAAGTTAATATATTGGTTTCTTCAAGACAATTTTACCTTCCTGTCTTCCTTCAAAGTTGCAGGCAGTGTTTTGGTCTGGATATGCCTCTGTAATTTCTTCCCCCCACCCTTCATTTTTAAATAGAATTATGGCTGTGGCTGTCACTATATTAAATAGAGCCTCTCAAAGCAAATTAATCTAAACTCTAAAAACAAAGAGAGGAATTGTTTGTGTTTCGGATAGCAGTGTGGAGGGAAGCTGCTACCTTATATGCTAGCAGAATCCAGGGAGGTTGCTGCCTTATATGCTAGCAGAATCGAGTATGTTTGTCACGTTGTTCCTTGGTTAAAAAGTGTTAATTTTTCTCTTCAGCCAGCAGCTGCAACAGCTAGTGTTACTACAGTTACTGCTGTAAAGCCTTTGAGTACTGGAACACCTGTAAAACTTCCAGTTACAGGACCACCTGCACAAGCTATCTCCCAAAAGGCAGTCTCTGTGAAAGCAGAGGGCACAACAGTAGCACAGACCAGCGCTTCTACAGTAAGGAAAAAAAGTTTTTAATTAAAAATTAACATTCTGTATGTTCATCAGAGGTTGAAGAGACAGTGCAACATCTAACAGTCTTCTCTTTATTTCCACACTAGGAGATGCTAGAGAATGTGAAGAAATGCAAGAATTTTCTTGCTACACTAGTAAAATTGGCGTCAAGTGGACCTCAAGCCCCTGAGATGGGGCAGAATGTGAAGAATCTGGTGCAAAACCTACTGGTGAGACTTTTTTTCCAAAACAAAGTCTGCATCATTTGTGTATAGATTTTTGACATTTACTTTATCATAGTTTTGTTCCTGTTATTTTGTAGTGCTTTTTGTTTTTTTTTTTTTATCAGCTCAAGAGTTGGATTTGTGGCTGGGTGCATCTGACCCTTGTAAAGTCTTACATTATAAATCTTATTTTAACTGAATCCCATGCTGTGTTACTTCCCTCCCTCACATTTCTATTTCACTTTATGCACACAGGTAACTGATAGCAGGAGCTGGTAGTGTTAACACAGTTTCTGGGTCTTTTTTTTCATGTTAGTGTAGTTTTGAGTCCTCAGTAGCAAGAATCTGAGGTGGAGGTTGCCGTGCAGCGCTAAGTCCATACTACTGCTTTACTCCAAGACAGAACTGAGCAGTGGAACAGGAATGACATTATCAATAGCTTAAAACAGTAGGATGGAGCAAACAATGTGGTGGCTGCCAAGCTCTCTCTCTTTGCAGGTGGCTTCCGTATGGTGCTTTGTGCTGTATCCCAGCACAGCTGGGTTTTCCTGGTAACGATTTCTCCTGCCACTTCTTGTCATGGCATTTGACCGCTGCTGCTGTGTTGTTGTTCCGCCGTAGCAGAAGGCTGTGTGCTGGTGGAGGGGGGTGGCTTTGCTGGTGGTACCAAAGGGCTTTTCAGTCTGGGAAGGTGTGATGTAGACAGGTGTAATTTCAGAGAGCAGACTGTTTGAAGAATGCAGCCTTGCAAAAATTTGATTCCTTAGCCTCTGTCCCTGCTGGACTATACACCTTTCTTCTGTGGGAAAAATTGAGTTGTTCTTTCTTGTGCTTACAGTACTTGTTGTTTTTTGTTTTTCTTTCTTTTAAGAGCAGTTATTAAGAGACATTAATACATTGTTAACTGCACACTTGTTTGCTTTTTGTAGTAATTTAAAAATCTGCTATTTGGTATGTGTATGATTTAAATGCAAAATAAAGTGACTTTTTGTGTATGAGAGAAATGAGTAAATTGCAGCTGGGCAGCAAAATGATCCTTAAGGCAGCGTTTAATGAAGCGCATGTCAAGCACCCTGTATGCACTGAGCCTTAGCATGCCAAACCACTTGCATCTGTATCAGTGAGACCTTGGTGACCCATGTCTGCACCTCAGTGAGATCTAACAGGCAGCAGATCGAGTGGCTAAATGGGAGAGCTGCTTGAAGCTCTGTTTGTCTGCAAAAACACAGTCTTTAAAATCCCTGTTCTGCTTATGTAGCAACTTGGAACAGTTTCTCCAGAGGTGAATATGGGTGAGAGGAGTAATTTCTCAGCAGAAATGGAGATTGGTGCTGCTCTTTGCTCTTTCTTGGAGAAGGTAATGATGACTCTGGGAGGGTGAGGAAGGGCAGCAGAGTCTGGGGCTTAGCCCTGTGTACAGGTGAGAGGTCTCAGAAGTTTGCTGCAGCTTCCCAACCCTCCTAAGCCCTTGCCTCAGGTGTTTGTGTTGGGACAGGCTGGAAAGCATTAAGAAAGGAAACAGTACTCTGCAATTCAGAGGACTGTTACCATGGGGGTATGCAGAAATGTTTTGATTGCTTTTGAAAGACTGTGTTAAATGTTCTATTATGCTGTGTGTGCAGAATTGTCTTACAAAAACTGCTAAGTTGTCATTAGTCTTCAGTGCTTCTAAGTTTATTTTTATGCACATAAACTACTGAAAGAAGTACTAGTAGTAGATTTAAAATACATCTACATAACAATGAGATACTCAAAAGGATCTGTGTTGCTTAAACTTTTTTCTATCCCTTCACTTCAGTGATTGGGTGTGAACACCTATCCCTAAGTGTGTTAACTGCCTGTAGTTGAGGAAAATGTAAACAACTGGGCTAATACTGTATGAACATTACATTATTCTATCCTAACTCCCCTTTTTTCTCTTTAAATAAAGCAGGAAAAAAGCCTTTGAGTACTGAAATTGGACAACTGGCTAATACTGTATGAACATTACAACATTATTCTATCCTAACTCCCCTTTTTTCTCTTTAAATAAAGCAGGAAAAAAGCCTTTGAGTACTGAAATTGAACAATGCCATGATAATAAAAGTTGCCATGACCTTTTGATACATCTTGGGGAAAAAAAGTGGGGTGGATTCAGCTATAACTTACTATTGTAATTATATTTTTCTCTTAGGAAGCAAAAATTGAACCAGAAGAATTTACAAAAAAGTTGTACATGGAGCTTAAGTCATCTCCACAACCATATTTAGTTCCTTTTCTCAAGGTAAGTGTCTGATTATGGATTTGTAGTATTTAAAGAGGGAAGGGAGGAGGACCAGAAGAGAAAAGAGTTGGGGCATTCAGATTTGTTCAGGTCAGTTGAACAATGGTGCTTAGGATACCTCTGTGACTGCTGTGCTTGGAAAGGTAATTCTTAAGGGGAAGAAGAGTTTTTGAGGAGTAGTTTATGCTGTGTTCCCAATGTTGTAGAGTAATTGCCCTTTAGGTGTTAGTGGAGAATAGTGTGTTAGAAGCTGTGCATCTAATCTGCAGTAGAGCAGCTGTGTTAAGATGACCTCCTACTTTCTCATCAAAATTGTAGTAATTCTGAGTTCTAACTCAGAGGCTGACAGCAGTGGTGATGCACAAGCTTATGCCATGTTAAAGATCAAAGAATCTGCATAAAGCTGTTCATCTTCTGCTGGGATATGTTTAGCTGGAGGCAGAAAAAATCTCTACCCCTGCTCCAGGAAAAGACTACTGTAGCTTAGGAAAAGAATCCCAGGGACTCTACTTCCATTCAAGCAAATAATCATGTAAAGGAAAAAAATGCTTCCTTGAGACTTTTAATCATATTATAGAATGATATTAACAAAATAAAAATTAATTATACAGCAAACATTAAATCTCAGTGACAACATGGAAGACTATGTTAAATTCACTAAATTCCAATGTACACCATACTCTTAAGTTTTTTAGACCTGTACATTCATTATAGGCATGATGGTCAATAAAGGAAGAGTAGTTAAGTGGTAAAGCTGAGACAGAGTTTTACTGGAGTTTGCCCTTTTCCTTGATATTTGACAGGCCATATAACAATGAATGTGATAATGTTGATATTGCTCTAGATGGCTGGTGTTAATCTGCTCAAATCTGGGATAAAAATTTTCCTTACGGTGGCAACTTTCAAATGCCTTGCTAGCAAGTTTGCCATGAGTCTGAAAGAGTGCAGTCATTTCTACAGGACCTTAAGCTGAGATGGGAGATTCAGATTTGATATTAGAAAAATATGTTCACTGTTGAAATGGTCAGCCATTGGAATGGGTTGCCCGGGGGGGTGCTGCAGTCAACATCCCTGGATGTGTTTAATAGGATCTGGTGCTGGGTGATGAGATTTAGTGGTTTAGGGGATACAGTGGTAGTGCGGGACTGGTGGTTGGACTTGATGATCTTAAAGGTATAAGGTTTCTTCCAACCTTGATGATTCTATGATACATAAAATTGTATTATTGGTCATTTATTACCTGTTTAGTTTCCTGGAGGCTTCTTAGATAGGCATGCAAAAGCCAGAAAAATAAACAGCTCTGAGGATGGGTTTTCTGCATCCAGTGTGGCTCTGGCTGCAGAAGGACCAGGCTGTGAGTACAGAGTCAGTGTGACTGGCACTCTCAGAAGTACTCAGCTGTTACAAGAAGCCATCCAACTATGTGAAGAGCTGCTACACTTGATGCAGGGAACTCAAGGCAATTCTGCAGGGGTTAAGTTGGGTTCATCAGCGTGGGTCAGACCCTGACCTGTCACAGCAGAGTCCTTGTGTGTTTCTTCTGCAGTGCACTGCCAGATACTGGCATCATCTAGGCTTCTTTGACTGGAGAAGTGTCCACACCACATAATCCTTGGCATGCTGATCTCTCCCTGTTGCATGCTACATTAACAGATATACTGTGACTTCAGAACTGTTGTTCAGATATGGTCAGAGTTAGCTGACTTCACAGTGTTGCCAGTCCTTTAAAACGTCTTGCACCCAGATTGCCTTTTCCTGAAACACTGTAAGGATGTGTGGCTGATGCACACAATTAGGTTGATCTGTAACTCTGAGCAGCTGTGACAGGACCGAGTGCCAAATGGAGGATGACTTCTGGAGCACTTCTCGAAGGTGCTAAGAGGATCAGTGCTGGCCTTCTTTATGGGGGAAATGTTTGCAGCTTGAGTCTGGAAAGAAATGTGATACGGCTTTTTGCCAATCCACTTTTAGCTAGTGAAGTGGAATTTTAGGGAGGTCTCTCTGGAGTCAGCTCTTATCTTTGAGCTGCAGGTTTTTGATGAAGTTGTGCATGTGTTTCGTTTTGTCTGTTCGAAGAGGTAGAAAAAGTACAGGGAAAAAGGCTGTGAAGCCTGCTTGATTTTCAAGTCTGCTGGATGCTTTTGGTACATAAATTGCATCAGGAGCTAAGCAGCTTTTTAAAAGAAAAGGAAGTGAATGTTAAAAAACAGATGGGCTGCAAAAGGTCCAGTTGTGCAAACAATATGATTGCTTGGTATGCTAGCATGTGAGATATGCACCTTTTGCATGAAGTCTAAAGCGGCAGCACTGTGTTAGGAGCTCTTAGAAACTTCAGCAACTGTTAAGAGAGGAATAAAAAATACATGGGTTCTCAAGAATATACAGGTAGCTGCAGAACTGATTTCCCCTGGTTCAGAGCCATAGCAGATTATAAACAGTAAAGGAGAAAAATCTGTAGAGCGTTTGAAGATCATTCTGTCCATTAACCTTCTCAAACACAGCTGTAGTGAAAATGAGATGTTGCCAAATTCCTTTACTTTTGTTCTCCTATTGCAGAGAAGTAGCTGGCTGAAGTTGTGTTGCTGCAGCTCTACAGACATTATTAAAGTGGTATCCCCCCCTAGTGTAGATACAGCTGTATTGGTATAAAAGTTTTCTTGTCTTCAGAGCTTGTTCCTGACTTCATTGGATAATTCGTAGCTCCCTGTCAGGCTCCAGGAAATAAACACAGCTGTTCCAATATAGCAGGGGTTTTTGGCAAAACAAAATTCTTTGAGGTAATAAAGCAGTTAAAATCATCTTACTCTGAAACACAAATTCCAAATTGAAAACTCTAAACAGAAGAACAAAGTTATGTGTGAGTTTCCACATAGATGGGATTACAATGTGTAGCATAGCTGTGGTGATGGTTGCCCTTTGCTCAGCTGGTGTTGGTGTTTCTTGTCATCTTCACTGAACAAGATTGTCATCAATTTAAGCGTGCCTGAAATTTAGCTAAATTTGTTTGCCTTTTATTGCCTCATGAAAAATTCAATTGGAAAATGAGGAAGATGATTCAGTTACTAATGTATTATTATTGTGGAAAAATCTGCTGTTACTACATCCCCTGCTTTTTCATTTTTCTTTTAGAAAAGCATGCTTGCCTTACGGCAACTAATGCCTAATCCTCAGAGCTTTATCCAGCAGTGTATGGAGCAGCCAGCTCCAACCCAAGAAGAGGTTTCCACTTGTCCCTCTGCAGTACCAGCTCCTTCGACAGGAGTGGCGACCTCGGCTGTAGCAACAACTGCTCCTCCAGCTGTAAAACCCACGCCTGCCTCTGCAGCGGTCACGGCCCCTGTGGTTATCACCCCAGTCCTTGCCAGCACTTCGGCAGCAGCTCCTCTGCAGGCTGTGAGGGCCATTCCTTCCCGTGCCACGGGGACAGCAGCGCTGGGGCCCGCGGCTTCCGTCCTCGCCACAGCCGCGGCATCGTCCGGGCTGGCTGCCGTCCAAGCCGGCAAGCCGGTCTTCACCTCCGCGGCGCCAGCGGCCTCTCCACAGTCTGCAAAGCCAGTGCTGGTCTCTGCAGTGGCGTCTTCTGCAACAACCCCTCTCCAGCCTCTGAAACCAGTCACTGGAACGCCAATTGGTATTAAAATCTCGCAGCCCAGCTCCATCGTGGCGCGGTCAGCGGGTGCTCAGCAGGTGGTTAAAGTGAAGCAGCTGGTAAGATGGATTCTCTTCTTCTGTGTAATAACCCTGCACCTTTGCTTTGATTCTCACCATTTAATAGAGGATACCAATCTGGACCTCTGGTTCTTCTTTCGTTTTTTCTTTTAATATATGAAGCTAGTTTGTCTTGAGTCCATCAGTTATGTTTGATCATTTAGAAATGCTGAGCCTGTGCTGGAAAGGTGACTCTAAAACCAAGTTGTCAGCTTGGTCTCTTGTAAGATGTGTTGACCATCCATCATTCACCAGACTGAATATCAATCCATAGCTGAGTCACAGGGGGATATGAGGTCTAGCCCCCACTAGGCCCACAGCCAGGCTAGGTTAGCACCTGGAAGAAAAGTTAGGAAATGCAAGGGTCAGAACCAGAAACTGCTGATGGGATACTTACATTAATTGCTCTTGGATGCCCTGTTAGGGCTGTGCCTCAGCTAGCCACCAGGGATGCCAATCTCTCTCCCCTTGTAGTTCCTGCCCTGGATACTTGGCAGACACAGGTGACTTGATACTGTTCAGTGATATGTTATCTGAAATGCGTGAACTACCTCAAGGAGCTTTTCTGAGCTGAGTTCTGACCTCCACATTTACTAAGACATGTTAATTATGAAGTTGTCCAAAAGTGAGTTTTTTCTATCAGGCCTCATTAGCTAACAAATTCCAGGAGGAATAACTGTCTTATTAAAACAATACCCTCAAAAGCAATGTGTTAACGTTTTTTATTCTTGGCACAGGTTAACTTCTTGCTAATATTAATATTAAATACCAAGAAACTGTGGATCACAGGTATACCCGAAAGAGCAACTTTGTGAAATAAATTAGGTTTGGCTTATAGGTGTTTAAGATACCAAGTAGCATGGTGTCCAGCTGGTCTACCTGTAAGTAATGCTTTCCAGTATTTTGAGAGAATTAGTCTCCCTTTGGCAGATAAAGAACTCAATTCTTGCAAAGGAATTCCTTGTAAAGATTATTTTTCTTTAAAAAGTGAGAAAACCGTTAGACTTCCTGTGGAACTAGATTTACTTTTCACAGGTATGGTAGGACGTCTGCTGTGTGAGTTTTCTTTTTAGCTTGGATATAGTGTATACTTGATTTAACAGTGTTCAGACCCCTAAAATGTTTTGCTTTTTTAGTTCCTTTCCTTTCAAAGGGCATAAGGTAGATGTAATACAAGAATCCTGCATTCTAAATAAAGAGTTCATGCTATAGTAGCATAAGCATGAGCTTTTCACCTTTCCAGACTTGCTTAAAACTCTATGGGGTGGATGGGGAGTCCTTTTTCTGAGTGGATTTGTTAAATTTAAAAAAAAAAAAAGAGGCACAATACCCTCAACCCAAAAACTCCAAAGAGGAGTTATTAAGCATATGCACTGACAATCTTGGCTAGTAGTAGCTGAAATCAAATTGGAAAAGGAGTTGGTACTCATATTGTCTTTGAGGACTAAGTTTGAAATTCCAGCCAGAAGAAAAGGAGAATTTCTTAGGTTGTACAAGGGCAGGAGAGCAGTTTGTTGGCTACACAGCAAGTCTTGTAATCCAGGAAAAAGGTTGACCATCTGTACAAATAGGCAAGGAAGCTTAGCTCTACACAAGGGAGTCAAAACACTTCTTGCATTTGATATTGGTGAACTCAAGAAGTGGCTTCTGCCTCTACACTGCTGGACTGTGGCAGTCTGCTGCAATTGCATTTCTTTGCTGTGCCTTACATATATTGACTTGTACACAAAACATGTTTTTATCCTCATTTGGGTAGGCACAGTGATTAAAATACTTGCTCTTCTCAGATACAGTTGAAGGACTGAGTTGACTGCTTCACAGCTTAGCCATATCAGGAGCTGGGTGTTTGTTCAGACAACTTACACAACTTAGACAACAGCACAAAGGGCAAGGTATTAGAAGTGGCTGTATCTCCTATGGCTACCCTGATGCCTTCTCTTGAAAGGGCAAAGGGTCTATCTTCTCCCATAAGAAAACAAATCTGGACCTGCCCTCCCTAAACAGAAAGGTCCTACTGCCAGCTGAAAAAGGAAACACCCTGCCAACTGTGCACATCTGTCCATACAATGCTGCCAGCAGTTTTTTCCCTTTTCAGCCCACAGGGATGTCTGATGCCATACACTCCCTCTGCATGCCCCTTCCTAATTTTGGCCTCTTGTGCTTGAGAGAATTTGAACTTCCACATGCCAGCTCCATTATAATGTTGGTGGTGCTCAAGAATGCAGCACTGCTGTATTTTAGTATCAAGTTTGTGACTGGAGTGATGCAACATGAAACTTTTCATTTCTGTAGCATTGTTATCAAAACTCTGTGTGGACACTAAGGGGCCTGTTCTTCAGGGGTGCTGTTGGGATTGATTGCACTCCTGTGCTGTGGCAGTTGCATATTTTCAAGGATTTTCTCCTGTGACTTTCTTAACACTGCCTCATTTAAGGGTGTTGGCTTACAAAGACATTTCATATTGGAAATAAAGTTTGTCTTGCTCTACTATTGCTTTGTCTCTTGTTAAAGCACAATAAATTAAAATTTACATTACCAGATGCTGGCATCCATTGGTGAGAAAGCTGCTGTGAGATTACAGCTTCATGTCAGGCATAACCAGTAAGGGTTTATGGTGTAGTCCCCACAATTACCAGTGAGACACACTGCCTGGAGATTATTAATGATTGAACCAAGGAGTGAAGTGTTTATGCTGTTGCAACTGCTTGTTCTTAGTCAGTTGTTAGTGTATGTCCCCTCGGAGCTGAGCTTTCATGAACAATCTTCTGCATTATTTTTTTTTGTCCTGGTTATTGCTCTTGCATTCAATTAGTGAGGCTTCCTTCATGAAACAATACTGCTTGTATGTGATGATACCTCAGCATCACTCTGCTGATCTCCAAACTTTGTTTTATGAATGTAAAACAGGTTCAGTGAGGCTAATCAAAGTCTCTTTCAGGCAGCTGTCTCTTCATTGCCAACTGAATGTTGTGTTGCATTTTTCTTAACTTAAGAACATCAATGATTTTACTCTGATGTCTGTGTCAGCCTGCTTAACAGGACACAAAGGAACAGTCCATTTTCTTTATTATTTCTTGCTGCTAACCTGAAGAAAGGATATTCTCACAGATATTACTGATGTTGGTAATGCTTTGTTCTGGCATTGGATCCATGTTGAAATTTCCAATATTGTTGTTCTCTCCCACTGCAACTCTCAAGGACTTCCAGCTTTTGTTAGTCTAGAGCTAGAATGACAAACAGAAAATGAGCTCTACTGCCAGCACATCCTCTCTGTTTCTTGGCAATGTAGCCTCCTTGGTTACTTGACTTACATCCCAGTCTCCACTTAAACCATGGTTGTAACAGTGCTATCTCTGCTCTTTTGTCTGCTGTACCTCGGTCTGGAATGTTATGTTTCCTCCTGTGCTGTTCCAGTGTTTAGCATGCTGAAGATGAAGCATCATTCTTCCTGGTGGTAAGGAGGATCTCTAGGTGTGTGTTAGTGCTAGTGGAGCCTGTGAGTAGTGTGTCCAAGCTGGTTGTCTCCTCATAAGTTACTTGAATTCATAAAAGACGCTGCTAACGTTATTCACAACTTGCAGTTTCGGAAGCCAGACCTTTCTGAGAGATCAAACTGAGTTTTGGGAAAAACACATAGAAGCAAATGTTAGCATCTGTTCTGCTCCATAAACAAGTGCTGCATATGTGACCCTCATCTCTGTCCACAGTCTGTCCCTGTATTCCTGTAGTTCTCTCCTCCTCTAGATCTTAACGTTAACTGTCTGTCAGGTTTTCAGATACCACTTTCACATCAGTTATTCTATTACTGCTGCTACACCAAGTTTTCATGCTACCAGTACAGAGATGGTTGAGAGGATATCTTGACTCTTTGGTACACTAAGTACCTCTTTTTGTGAATGTCTTATGTTGATGCTTATGTTGATGATATTTATTAATAGAGGAAAAGTTAGGTGGCAGGAGAGAGCCTAACTTCTGAGGTATTGTAAATTACACTTGTGCAGTCTTGCTGTACAAGTACTCATTAGACTTTCTGAAGTAAGAATAAAAGATGTGGAGGAGAAAAATGGCTGCTTGACCCTGACACTTTCTTTGTTAGTTTTCTGCTGCTAAAAAAACAGGATTCAGTCTGAAGATGTTGATTTTATGATTTGGTGAAGTGGCATCTTTATACTGCCTGTAATCAAGAACTTTTTTAAAGATGTATCTAAGTGGAGCCCACATTCTGCTAGCTAGGAGGCTTAGAAGTGAGATTTTTAGGGATGCTGCAATTTTATTACTTTCTTGCATTTTAATAGCTGCCCCTGAAGAGGAAGGATTAGCATTTATGGGCTGTGCCTGTAGGTCTGTGTTGTGATGACATCCTGCTGTCTGGTTTTGTTTCTTTGAAAAGTCTCTTTAAACAAAACTATGAACTGCCTTCCTTTTTACCCTTCAGCTGTGTACTGGTGTCTTTGTGTAGAGGCTCTACTTGCTATAGGCGTTGCTGTTTGTACTTTTTGTTCGTGGCAACTGTTTAGTGTATTTTAGGTTAACACTTTAAAACTCAGCATCTCAATTTACAATTGATGTTGCAATTCCAAAAACACATCAGTAATTTTATAGCAGGTACTCTTTAGTTCTTAGCAAGTACAGTATTTCGTGTAAGACTTCAATTGTTTTGGTGTTCTCCCTTTTTGACTAGGTGTTGTGATACCTACCCTTTTGAAGTTACTGGCAGACTCACTCTTTAATAGCTGGCCTGCTGAGCAAGACTTATGTAGAGGAAAGCCTCAGTGTAATGGCTTGTGTGATAATTAGTGGAACTTGTCCAATAGAGTTCATCAGTAGAGAATAGGGGTGAAGTGTCTGTTAGAGCTCACTGAATGAGCTTAAAGCTCACTACCACTTGTTAAGATGTCTTGACATGAAGTTTAACAAAAAAAAAAAAAAAGGTCTTTTCCGAGCATGCTGTTTGCTTTAAGCTGAAAACTAGACAAGCTTACTTGCCCAGTGGCACTTCTGGCTAAATGGAAACATTGATACTGTTTACTTCTCTGTATTTTTATCTCTTCTCACTGTTGATATTGGATATTCCTCTTCCAGGTAGTCCAGCAACCGTCAGGAGCCATTGTCAAGCAAGTATCCACGCTCCCACAGCCCTCAGTGCTCACCCTGCAGACACCTGCTGAGAAGAAGATGCCGCTGAATACACTTGTTCAAACCAACCAGTTTCCTGCAGGTAAAGTGCAGGAACCTCTTTCATGGAGAAGGGGAGGACTCCTGAGGTATAGAAATAAGTGCAGGCTGTTGGTAGATTGTAGGAATGCAAGAAGGTGGCTGTTGGGAGCAACCACCTCTGTGCATTAAGTTGAACATCTTTACTGTCTGGAGCTCTGATGAGAAAATCAATGTCACATCTGCTTCTGGCACTTGTGAGGAGCGTGTCAATCAAATATTTGTACTTGTTAAAATACTGTAACTGAGCTCCTTGCAGTTAACTTCCTCTAAGATGATGATTTTGAGAGCTGTTTCATGAGGCCTTGCTTTTTCCTTCGGCAGGTTCAGGTTGATGCACAATAAGATTGTGTCTCGACCAGTGAGTTTTCACTGAAACATTTCCCTGGTCAGGACAGAAGAGAGGATGTTTGCTAGAGAGCGTATGAGGCTTTGGGCCATACAGAACTTGTAGAATGTAAGATTCTAGAGTGTCTGGTTTTCAGATGGACCCAGTTAGTTGTTACTGAGTCTGCAGTAGCCTTGCCTGGAATAATGAACTAACTAAACAGTTGTTTTAGCATTTTGCTTTCTACTACAGCATGTTCTTTGTTTTGTTGTAGGTTCCATTCTGAAGCAAATTACCTTGCCAAGAAATAAAATTCTGTCGCTTCAAGCATCTCCTGTTCAAAAAGTGAAAATGAAAGAGAATGGAGCAACACCCTTCAGGTAAAAAAGAAAATATCAGAAGTATAGAAAGGAACAAAAGGAAGAAACAAGTATAGAGGTGGGAATGGAGCTCAAATAATAGCAACTTTCTTCAGAAACTTTTTTCTGATACATGTTTTTCACGTCACAATACTCATGGGCAGTGGGTAACCTTAAAACTTCTACGCAGACGTTAATTATTCTTAGTGTAAGAAAGCTGTCCTGGTGAGGTTGGGTTTTGTGTCAGTTTTTCACTAACATGTTTTCCATCCTATGAATACAATTACCAGTTGTATTACTTTACTTTGTAGTAAAGTCTCTCAGCAGGATTAAAGCAGATGGAAGTCTGGTTTTTGCATATAGTCTGATAGCATTGAACTGTTACTTGGACTGGCTTGGAACCTGTCTAAAGCTCTGTGCTGCATTTCAGAATCTTTTATTAGCTCTTCTTACAAGCTTGTTTCTGAGTCTATGGGTCTTTGACTACATCTGTGTCTAGTCTTTGATTACATCTCTAATCATGATTTCTAACATATTCTCTAGGCCTTTAGATTGCAAGAGTGCTTAAAGCTTTTAGTTCTGGCAACTGATTAACTTTTCAAAAGCAGAAATTAATTTTGCAGCTATGAAGTGTGATGTTGGAACAGAGGTACATTCTGCCATAAGCATTATTAGTCTTACCACTTCAGGGCAGGTTTGATACTGCTCTTCCAAGGGAAGAAAGTAGACATGGTGATGACACCTCTATCTTGTTGACCAGTTGACTTATCATCTGTTGAAAGCTGCAGCTTTGAATGCACTGGTATAGACAGAAAGCTGCTGCTGTTTACAGTAACAGACAGTATACAGTGAACGCTTAAAAACAGTGATTGCCAGAAGCTGAAATGAAAAGCTCATATTAAAGCAATAGCTCTGTTCATCTGCCTCAAGGTCTTATGAAATATACTTTAGAATGTAATGTGGGATGTAATTTTGGGTAGTGATGTTTAAAAAAAAACCCCTTCATAAATATCGTAATAAAAAAAAAGCAACAATGAACAAACTCATACCCAAAAAAGAAAAGGAAAAAATTTTTCTCTGATCTTCCAAATGGAATATATTAGCTGTCTTACATGAGAAATTTGAATTCTTGTAAGTCGTTCCCTGAATTGTTAAATTCATAGTGTAGGAGAAAAACCTGCTTTTACAGTGTGATTCTATAGAGATTTCTCTTCTTGCTTTTGGATTGTGATCTTCAAAGTAGCATAAGTCCATGAGAATTTAGACAGAAAATCTCTAACTCACCCTAAATTTTCTTTGTAGGGTCTCTTGTCTCTGAAGAGTTTGTCTTTGGACACACCCTTGGTGTTTCTTTTATTCAAAAGTTTGCTGTAATCAAACTTTCTTACCTGTGATCAATGTGTGAGGCAGAGAGAGGCACCGTGGCCTGTTTTCAGGTTTTGTGATGAAATTTGTTACAAGCACAGAACATGTCTTGTAATGGATGTGATTATACCTGTGGCTCGAACAAGAGTGCTCTTGCTGTGCACTCTCATTACAGTGTGTCATCGACCCCGACTCCCTCTGCCATTCTGTGACTAGGCTAGTTTAGGATTTGAGGACATTCTGCTCACTAAGCTGTACTTAATTAGCTGCAGTTTGACCTTGTCTGCTCTCTAACATGCTGCTTTAGGTTGCCTGAGATAAGCAGTAGAAAGAGTGGTGATTTCCTGCCCCCCAAGCAATCAAACAGGAAAAAAAAACAAAACACAAAGCATTCCAGCCTTCTAGGTGTTGTTTCAGCTAAGCATGGACATTGCACCATGGCATGTCAGGAAATAGTCTGTTTTTAAAAAATCAAGATTTTTGTAAACTGATCTACACATTCCTGTAAAGTATATGCTAGAGCACTCTGGAAAAAAAATAAATCACATATTTTGTCTTGAAATATTTGTTTTGAATTTGTTTTGTTTAATAGAGTTGTTCTCCGAAGCACATGCAACTTTCTGGCTTGGCTGGAATTGTTCTGGCCTGGGTCGTTGTCAGGGATGGTGCACAAAGGTTTGGGTTCAGTGTGTCTTTCTAGTTTTCCCTTTAACTCTTGGATAAAATGGAGTAAATTAGGGGGATTCAGAAGACGAGTGCGGTCCTCAGACACCAGAGGGTGCCACAGACTCACTTTTCAGGCAGCAGGCAAATTCAGAGCTGTGAGGTGCATCTGCATTGCCTGGGCTTCTTTTGCAGTGAATATCCATAGAAATGTCAAATCCGACATTGTGCGGTGTATCGCTCAGAACTCCTGAGTTCTGCTTTCCACCTTGTCCTAGTAAGCCTAAATCACTGGAGGCTTGTATCTGCTGGGTGAGTTTTTCCTGTTCTGAGTGTGACATGATCAAATGTAAAGAGCATTAAAGGAAGTGGTGCAGAAAAGGGGCTTTATGGAGGGATTGCTGAAAGTGAAAGCAAGTCAGTATGCATCAGAAACACCTTTGTGTACACTCTGTAACATTTTAAATTTATCACCTTAGTAGAATGATTTCTACAGCTTACTCAAAGTACATGATACCTTACTTTAAATGATTGAAGTTCGTTTGAACAAAGAAAAAAGAGTAGTAAAAAGTATGAACTTACCGTGGCTTCTGAAACTTTCATTAATCTTTAGTGAGCACTTTTCTAAGGAATACAGTGGTAATTTCTTTGAGTAAAATAAATGCAACAGTGTTTTCATATATTTTATCAAAGCAAACTTATGTCTCACAGTGAAAAAGTTAGAATTGGTACTGAAGAACAGTACAGGTAGAGATGTCTGCTTGCATATAAACACTTGTATGCTTGTACACACTAGAGAGACTGTGTGCATGGAAATAATCAAGAGAATAGTAACCTGGTAAAGGCAGGTTATAAAGAAATTAAATTTCTCTATGTAGAAACATGGATACATTGTAGAAGTTTATCTGTTCTTTGCCTGAGTGTTTTGAGTATGTGGCCAGATTAAAAACAAAAATGATTTCCTGAAACTGCATGCTATGCAGTTGTACCTGGGATGCAAACATCCTTTCTGGGATTCCATAAACACTTCCACTGGAGTAATGTCAGGTTCCAGCACGGATAGCTTGTGATGTGTGGTTCCTGGTGCTGGATGTGCTGATTTTGTCAGCAGATATGTGGCAGTCACCATGCTTCAGTGGAATTCTTGTCTCTGCCATCAGAAAAGACTTCTCTGTAGTGGTCACTGTGAAGAGGAAACCAGAATGTACTTGTGAAGATTAGTTAGCACTCAATTATCATCCCATGAAGCTTCACTGACACGCTTGGTGAAAGTTCAGGGTCTCTGTTAGGCTGATAGAGCCTGAGTGTACACTTGGAGCTGCTCAGCTGCTGGATGAGAAGGGGTAGGAGGAGGGAGGCTGTTCTGACACTGTTGGCTTCAGCTTCAAATTGTAGCTGTGGACATCTAACTGTTCTGACAGTCCTGGGATTTAACACTTTTCTTAGCCTGATGGATTTGGGGCACAAGCCTGGTTGGGAAGCTGTTGTGTCTAGTTAGACATAAAGAGCTGGAGCTGGTTTGAGAATCTATTGGATCTCCTTTTCCCTGAAGACATGCACACCTAGGAACTGCTAGCAATGAGGGCACACCAATGGAAGGAGGGATAGAAGAAGGCTGGACTCAAGGCTGGACTCCTTTTCTGTCTGAGTCTCTCACTGGAAGTTTGCAGAAGAATTGTGCAATAGAAATATACTGAAACTCAAAGGAGAAAATACATCTATAGTTTTAAGAAAAATATCCTAACATTTTCTTGTGTCTTTTGAGTTTGCTTAACCTCAATCCCAACTCATGTTCTAATAACTTCAGCTTCTGCTTCTAGTCAGTCAAAGGATAGCCTCCAAGAAACATCATTTCACCTTAGAATGAGAAATTCCTGGCTAACCCTTGTTCAAGAGTTATTGAGGCCACACAGTGTTTTCTGAAGGTGAACTTCATCAAACCTTGCCAGAGAATGCTCTTTAGGAGGGGTGTGTGTGTGTTGGTTTTGTTTTCTGTGCTTTCCAAATAAAAAGATGTTCAGATTGAGTGATTTTACTTATTTGCCTAATACTATGGATGTCTGTTTTGGATTGGTCCTAAATCCCTGAAGCCACTATTAGGGCCTTTGTCACATTGTGAAGTAAAAATGCTTTTTCTTGATCGTTTGAACAATTTGATAAAAACTTGGATTGTTTCACTACCAAAGTAGTGCAAAAGCTTTCCATCTAAGATTCATTCAGTATTTTAAATGATCTCTAAAAAAATAATTAGGCTGAAGCACACTGGCTACTATAGTGAGTGATGTTCACCCTAACTGAGCTTTTATTTTGAACATACAGTCCAAAGCTGCTACATGAGAATTCAGCTAATGGTGTTACCAGCTAGAGCTCTGACATGGTGCTTCAGAGGCAGTGGCATCTTCCCTGCTATGTACACATGTATGGTAGGACTGATTCAAAGTACAAGGTCTGGATTGGTTTTAGTAAGTAATCAAGGAGTGTTTGTATCCTGTGTTTTAGGGGAGCTTGCTAAAGAAAACTGAAGATCATGTCTGTGCTAATAAGCCTGTGCTTTAAGCCTCAGTGTGCAAGATATGCATCTTGGTTAGAAAATGGGCTTGTTTGTAGTCCAGTGAGTCAACATTCAGCTTCATTCCACACTTGGTTCTACCTGGTGAATTAGTTTTAGAACAAATATCAGGCTGTGAGAGTGGTGGTGCAGGGTTAGGGGTTGTGGGAACTTTTAATCTGCGTTTAACTCAGCCTAGGTTTCCAAGCTGGCTCAAAATTTCAGTTTCATATAAAGGATTTGCATGCCTAGCAACTGAGGCATTAGCCAAATTAATGTTTCAGAAGCACCTTGCAGAAATGTGAGAGCTTTTAGGAGCTCCCTGTCCACACCCACGCTGAACATCTGTTGTATACAGGATATGTGAATGTAGCTGCTTGTTGATAGTTGAGACTTTTTCTTTGTGTCTATTCTGAACAAAGCATAAAATGTTGGTCTCCTCTTTTGTAGAGATGAAGATGACCTAAATGATGTGACTTCTATGGCTGGGGTTAATCTCAGCGAGGAGAATGCCTGCATTTTGGCAGCAAACTCTGAGCTCATTGGCACGGTGATTCACTCTTGCGCAGATGAACCATTTCTGTCTTTGGAAGCTCTTCAGAGTAAGATCTTGAACATAGGTGAGAACAAAGCACACACAGCAGATATGTATGGATGTAGTGTTTCCTTACCTCTTTCATCAGCCAGCCTCCAGTCTTTGAAGAAGGACCTGGAACTATTATGATCTACTATCTCATGTGTTTCTACCAAACAATACTTTCCCCTTCTAGGAAACAACTGTCCTTTAAGGTTTTCTTTACATGGAAACAGTCTGAAGCACAACCAGGAAAAAGACACTGATGCCACTTAAACATGTGAGAAGTGAGCAACTTTCTTACTCTTAAACCTAATGCAACACTTAACCATAAATCTGCTAGTGTCAAAACACTTAAATGTGCTCTTCTGTCTCAGCAGCTTCTAACTTGATGCATTACACTGACTTCCCTAACAGTTTTTGCATTCCTCAACCTGTTCAGGTGTATGTACTCTATCAACTAATATTAGGGAGAAGTTTCAAACTTCCAGTGCACACGGAGCAGAGCTTTGTTTATGACTCCCTTCATGGAAAAAACTTTTGTTAATTTTATATAAAATAGATGTTGAAGGTGTTTGTCTGTGTAATGAATAATACTGCGGAATGTGTGTTGAATGCCTGTGTTACAGGAAGTTTCTAATGTAGGCATCATTTCAGCTGTTACCTTTTGAGCAAAAATAATAAGTGCTGCTTAGTAATGTTGTATTATGTCAGAGCAGGGAGCATGTAATTGTGTAGCAGCACACTGGCTGGTTCCACTACAGTTGACAGCAAACTCGATGCATGTTGCTCAGCTCCTTGCTCTTGCCCTCTGCCCAGTACTTGCTGTACTGGAACACTGAGTTTTACAGCTGAGCATCCAGGAAAGCCTGAATGTGCAGTCACAATGCTGTCACAGTGGCTTAACCACATGTTCACAAAGTCTTTTTGTTTACACACACGCCTGGTTCTTAGTCCAGAGTGAGCAGCTAGCCTGTGACAAGCACGTAACCTGCAAGTGCTACCTGTGACCTTGGTGCTCCTGCCCTGGTCAGCCACATGTGTCATCTCAAGCTGTATGGGGCTTAGCAAATGCTGTGTTACCAGTGGCAGAGGGAAAATGCACATCAGACCTGGTGCCTAGAAGATGTTCTCAAAGTTTAGTAGAAGATTAATCAGTCATTCGTGGGAAGTGGATATAAGGAAAAATAAAGAGCTCTGCAAAAACAGAGAGAGTATTTCTAGCATAATTTGCTGGTTGTGGGTGTAAAGACATTGTGTTGAAAGATGGAAAATAGAAACCTGGCTGTTTCATAGCTAGAATGGTAGTTGTTCCAAATTAATAATAACAGTAATAGCAATATCAATAATTCATGTCATAAATGATAAGTGCTTGTTTGCAAGGAAAGGAATGCTGCCAGGGAGTGGAGCAATTCAGAAAGTTAACATGTCTGCTTTTGAATCAAGCCATCTTTGGATTAAGAAATGTGTGTAGGGAGATCTTGAGGTTTGGGGGGGATTTTATTTTGTCTTTGAGTTGGTGTTTCAGTAATCTGATAGTCTAGTGAGAAGCTGCAGAAGAAGTATTGAAAGGAGCTTGTGCAAAATGAGCTTTGTACTCAGTTAAGTTACAGGCCGGTGCTTACTGATCAAACGGGAATGCTTTGATTGTATCTGGGAAAATATTCTAGGTTCTCTCTGCTTTGTGAGATTGTCATTCATTTTCAGTTACAGTAGCAAAAGCAAATGAAATAGATGATTAGTTTTTTTACAGTGCGCTGTTTATCCATTCTTAACACTTCACTTGGCAGTAAATACTGAAATGGGTTTTGAAGGCGTGCTGTATATTGCATCATAAAGTATTACAGCTGCTGTAAATGCAGTGTAGGGCAAGGAAAAGTGCTTCTGACAGGTACAACGTATGAGGCATGTGGAGCTGCTGCCTGCCGTGCCTACCAGGGAAAAGCCGCTGCCGCCCAGGTGTCTCGAAGGAGCCGCGCTGAGTGATGGATGGTGTCAGCCATGGGAAGGCTTCTCCGGCAGCAGCCTGCAGCCGCGGGAAGGTCACAGAGGTGATGCCCAGCTCTAGGTGCAGGGCCAGCACAGCCTTGCCTGGAGCTGTCACCAGCCTCGGTCACAGCTGCTGAGACACGGAGATTCGGCGGCAGCCCGAGAGGAAAGGTTGAAGGTGATGGCAGGATGGCCCCGGCTGGACTGGAATCCGCGCTGTCCGAGCTGTAGGTCCCTTGGGTCTGTCTGCCCCTGTCGGTCGGTCAAGGCAGTTTGGAGGGTCTCGTGTGCCTGGAGTGCGCTGCAAAACCCATTCCTGCTCGTCAAATAAATGTCATGAGTTGTTAACAAGCGCGGTGTCAAGCAGGGCAAAATGTAATTCTGTATTTTTTTAATTACTGGAATTAACAGAATATGGCACTAATTTCTACAGCTACCGCTTCTCCCCCTCCCTGAACATGAGGCTTGATTTGTGTTCTTATTAACTTTGTCCTATAAATGACCTTGCAAGGAGAGTGGTTCTGGAGGCTAAGTGAAACAATGTCTATATTTTCTGAAGCTCCAGGCTAAGTTTTATTAATGTAATGTCTGAGATCTTTGAAGTTGTGACTTTACCAGGGAAATCATAATCTCCAAACCTTTATTCATAATGGGTATGACTTCCAGGGGGAACAGAATACCTGCTGTGCTAATTATTTCAATTATCAGCTACTACTAAAACACGTAATGGATTTTCTCTGCTTCCACAGGTAAAAGGCATGACATTATGGAACTTAACTCTGATGTTGTGAACTTGATCTCCCACGCTACACAGAAGAGATTACGAGGGCTCCTGGAAAAACTAACTGTAATTGCTCAGCACAGAGTATCAACCCACAAGGTAAAGGAAATCATTAGCAAGTTTTGCACAAAGTTTTCCTGCTTTGCAGCCTTGAAGGTAAACTTCTTCCAAGTGTGGGCACATCACAGGTAACATTTGCGTACTCAGTATCTACCAAAGGCTGGGTTTAGCTGTGTCTAGCCCAGCATATAACTGTTCCATTTGACTTGTTGGACAGGTGCTCTTAAAACCCAGCATAAGACTAAATGCGTATTTTTCTTCTTTTCCATAGCAGTGGTGGCTGTTGTGCAAAGTCTCTTACCTGATAAATGGAAAGCTGATTCTGAATGCTCTTGATGGTGGGTTGACTTAGGGACTTGTGTTTTCCTTATGCATTTACTGTTGGTGGAATTGCAGTCAGTATTGGCTCAGTAAAAAGCCTTGGGAAACTGAATTGATTATTTTACTTTTAGAAAGTGGTCCGTGAAGGCAGAGACCCTTTTCATCTTAAGATGTTTTTTCATCTTAAGTCTTTTTTTAGCTTCATTCAATATAAAGTATATTGTGTCTCAGTGAGCTGGTATCCCTTAAGATGCTTGTATGGTGCAAATGGGAAGTGATAATTTACTGGCCAAACCAGCTCTTTCTTTTTTCCTTTTGTCATTCAGTAGCAAGATACTAATCCTTACATCTTCCAATGTGAAGCTGTTTTGGAAAAAAAAAAAGAAGTGAGAAGCAAATGTATCTGTCAGCTCTTAGTTTCCTGTTTGTTCAGGTTGAGTTTTTTTACAAGAACTTTATACTTAATGAAATTGAAGAAGAGCAGCCAACTGATGGAATAGGAATTCTTTTTGTACTGAACACTTTTTATAGGCTTTTCAGCACTGGAGCAGCAATAGTAAAGAGGAGCAACTATTTGGAAACTTCTGAGTATTCATGGAGTGTTCTGGAGCAGTAGGGGTATTCTGTTCCTTCGCAGCAGAAGATGTAATAGAAAAGAAAATCAATACATAACAAGTACAGAATTTTGTATGAAAAGACTTCAGAAACTGCACTTGTTGTTTCTCCACAGTGGGAGGTACAATAGAGCTTGTGAGCAAAAGTGAGGAGGAAGCTGAAGTCCAGAGTAACCAGTAGGACATAGTGTCTTGCAGACACCAAGAACAGAAGGAAATGGTTTTGGACAGTAGGCTGGATAGGGCTAGTTTCTTTCTCATTGAACTAAAGCAATAGAAAAATGGGTTTTTGTCTGATTGAATTGCCAGAAGCAATGATAAGATTATAAGATTGCAATAAGCTGGCTTTCTTTTCCTCTTTTCTCAAAAGCAAAACAAACAAAAAAATCAAAAGTAACGGGCACAGTAATCTTAGAGGCACAGATACCCTCTTTTGTTAGGAAGATGGTATTACGCGACAGAGGAGTGTCCTACAGGATTCCCTTTGTGAGCAGTGCTATTGTGAAAGATGCTGACAGGCTTTTAGAAAACTTAAGTTCAAGTAGAGAACACTGCAGGGTGCTGGGGTCCTGTTATGTGTTAATGTAGGTATTTATACAGCCCTGTATTACATCTGCCCTGGTGCTTACCTCCTGTTCTCCTATCCCTCATGGCTTTTGAGTGGTACCCCTGCACAGTATGGGCTGTCTATGTCAGATAAATTCCCAGAGTCTTTCCAGGAGGGCTAGGTGCTTGCTCCATTAGGAGTTTTGTACTGGCCTATCTTCACTACAGAAAAACAGCAATAGGGGTGTTTGTGGTGAAACCAAAGTAACTATTGTTAGGGTGGGAGTTGGTGTAAAAAGACCAGTAATTCATGGGATCATAGTCAGGGAACTCTTCTTCCCAGTTTGCTCAGCTCATGCCTAGCAGCTTTCGTCTGATAGATAGCCCTGCAGAGAGAGTGAATTGACAGGGTAAAAGCTTCATGCTATGCCATCATGTAGACTTGTCAACTTTAGTCCTTTTTTTTTGTTAAATTTAAGCAAAGGAATTAAAATTGGAAGTCACTGACTTCATTGGGACAAAACTATGATGGTGGTCTCTTAATGTGAAGTAGGAATAGCCTTTCAGATGGCTGGGAGCTGCTTTCTGTGATGCAGATTTTGTTGCAGTGCTCTTATAGAGCCTTTGGAAGACCATAAAGGGAAAGGGTTTTTATGTGGATTCATCCCAGCATGAAACAGCTGCCATGCTCCTGTGGTTGGAGGCCCTGAGCTCATGGCTCCGAGAGGCATGGTGTGGTGCTGAGCTAAAAATGATGCTCCATGAAAACATTTCCCCCTCATGCAGTAGCTCTGAAATACCACAACACTAAACTGCATTATCTGTAGGGCCATGGGATGTGGGTGATAATGCTTCATCATAACAGCACTGGCTACAAGTCATGAACAGGGGTGCAATGTAATGTTTTCTGTCTCAGCAATTCCCTGCTAAATGACCACAGAGAAGCTCATTGAGTAGGACAAAATATAACTGCAGGTGTTCCTCTTTTAAAAATTCCTGAAATAAGCTATCTTAAAACAGGTGATGAGCTGAAATACTGTTACAGATGCATCTATTTCTTGTCCCATATAAGCTCATGGTAGTGCATTGGGGAGCTTCTGCTTGAGAGACTTAACATTGCTGGTTGGTATAGGGTCATGGATTTGTCTTAAAATGTGTAAATATCTGGCTATTCCAAAGCAAAACACTTCTAAACTTTGGAAAAAAATAATCTTCTGGTACTACAGCTTTCTTCTTTGTCCTTTTAAAAGGATTGTGGCATGGTGGTGGATTATTATAAACTGCTGCTTCAAAACAAGTTGTACTGATGTACTGAGAGTGACTCAGAAATAGCTTATGCTTTGTGGGGAGCAGTTAAAAAAGACTTGAGCAGTGACAGAATAGCAGTGGAAAAGGTTTGTTGGACTTTTTTGCAGAGCCACAGATGCTGCTTGGGAAAGTCTCTGGTTGCAGCATATGGTGTGTTTTGAGCCACAGTTGGTAATACGTGACAATGAGGTGGCTCATTGAAAAGGACCAAGCCTAATACCAGAAAAGGGATTGATTTCATGCTTTGACTCAGTTGTGAAAATTCAGATCACAAGACAACAGTGCTCCACAAGAAAACTTTTACTTTTCTTCTGTATTTTCATAGTGCACAACTGGGTGTGAGAAGAAGAGTCTGACTATAGTATCCTTGAAAACTAAAAACTGAGTAACTGAAGTCATGGATAGTCCATATACTTAACATATAACCTTGCCTAAAATACAACTGTAAAATATCCTGTGCTTCTTTTAGAATAGTTGTATGTCAGAATTGTTTCATTACAATGTGAGACTAGTGTAAGATAGAACGAAGAGTCACTGAAAATACATGGTGTTTTTGGCTGATAAATGCCTCAGGATAAATTTCTCAAGAAAAAAAAAACAAGTTCACAAAGTAACAGAGAAAGAAGACAGCTGTAGGACGTGCACTAAAAAGTGGTACAAACAGGTGGCACAGACATGCCTCATCTAGAATGGGCTTCTTGTCTTGTGTTGCCTAATTGCCATCTGGCCAACGCATGGCTCAAGAAGTCTGTCTTTGGAAAAGCAGAGTAGTAAAACCAAGATTTTCATTGCCAGTTTACCATGTTTTGGATCTTTTCTTTCTCTGCTTTTCTGAGCTAAAGTAAATGTCAACTCAGGCTTTCCAGTGGGAGCAAAAATAGAACGTAAAACAAACTGCTGATTGCTATTCTTGAGACCAAAAGGGCCTCAGTCCTGTTTCAATGCCTGTGTCTCCAGTGATTGTTGGACTAAAACTAATCATTAGTATTCACTGGCCCAGCTTTTACATGTGGCTGGACCAGATGACTTCCTATTGGAGTGTTACCTTTCAACATTAGCTATCCTGGGACTTGAAAGATTCACTGAGGCAAAAATATGTATTCTTAAAGCTATAATAAACTGTATATAATATATTTCACCTTCTTCACCCCTAAGATTCATTATAACTGGTTCTAGACCACCCCTCCAATACATAAATAATCTTTTTTGGAAATACCAGGTGATGCTTGTTTCAACTTCTGCATTAAATGGCTGAAATTGGAACCCAAAACACTAGAAACTTATAATGTCAAGTTCTAATTTTTTTTCTTTCAAAGGAGAAAAGATATTATGCCCAGCTGCTTTACAATTCCTTTTTCTTTACTGACATGTTTACTGGATATGAAGTTGGTGGTTTAAAACAAAATTTTTTTAGTCTTTAGTCTAAGGTTAGGGAAGACTTCTGTTATTATAGTCAGTATAGACTGGATGTTGTTAATGTCACTTGTTCAATAACCTCTTACTAGTCACAGACACCTGGAAACATGCTTCAGTGGAGAGGAGATGTGTAAATGACTACCTACCACCTGAAGTCTTTATAAAACAGCCCATACTTTTCAGCTTTGAAAAATAGTGTTGTTTTTTTCAGATTGTTCCCACTAGGTTTATGAGCTCCTGGTTGTCTATAACTAAGTTCTTTTTTCAGGGGAGTGATAAGTACATCGTATGTAGTGACACCAGAGCTCAACTGAGATTTCTTGAGAAGCTCGATCACCTAGAAAAGCAGAGAAAAGATGAAGAGGAACGTGAAATGTTGCTTCGAGCAGCCAAGGTAAAACTCTTAAGTTTCCAAGGAAGTAGTCATATCCTCTAGATTGGTGACCATCTTCAGGTTTCTCCTACTTCTGCTTTAAATATAGTAACCATTAATTCTGTCACTGAAAATCTATAATGTTTAGGACAATTGCAGCTATACAGAAAAGGATTTAACCTATTTACATTTTTTCAAAAGTCCACAAGAGTCCTTTGAAATGTGTGGTGGGGTGAACTACTCTTTTGAGATTATTTCTACTGGTCAAAATGAAGTAAAAATCTATAAATGTCCTTCCTGTATCTCTTTTTGCCTCTGAAACAGAAGCCTGGTGAGATCCTCCACCCTTGCAGGTGTATTATTTTCCTGTAGTCAAGTTCAGAGGGCTAGCCTTAGAGCTGGTACCACAGCATCCATGAACCCCTGATGGAGCTATTGCTAGTACAGAATAAGTTTCTTCTCTCTTCCTTCCCCTCAGGAAAAGGAGGGAAAAAAAACTACGACAGTAGATGTTGCTTCATCAGCTGTGAATTGACAATCTTGTCTTGATTCTTTTCTTTTGGTTTTGTTTCAAGCCGAATTCTGGAGCCGCTTGGGTGGAAGCCTAATCTAGAGTTGAAGGAACAGTGTTGTGCCTGCATGAATAGAGCTCCCTTTCTTTCCTATACTTCCTGTCCTTTTTAAGTGTCTGCTGCTGACATGAACAACATCATGCCTAGACTGGACCTGACTGACATTGTTAGCATCATTTTCAGCTTAATCTTGCCTCTGGCTAGAGCAGAGGCAGCCGGCCCAGATGAGGAGCGGTGTGCACGTATGTGCGTGGAGGGGGATGGAAGCCAGTCTGGATTGAGGCATTCACCCCTGGAGCTAAATCTTTCAATCACCAGAGAAAACTGTCATTTATTAAATATTTAACAGATAGGATGGTGTTTGGATGCCAGTAATTTCTGTTCAGTCTTTTTCTTCTTCCTTTGGTAGAGCCGTTCCAATAAAGAAGATCCAGAGCAACTGCGGTTAAAGCAGAAAGCGAAAGAGGTAGGAGTTTCCAGTTACCATGCTTGCCTTTGTGTGTTGAGAGAAGGTTGGCAGCCCTGTCCTGGCAATTAGGTCAGGGTTTATTTTGCTGCTGCATACCATTTGCAGAGGCCTTGGGGAAGGACAGGAACTGCCACAGGCAAGGGCAGTGCTTCAAATGAGGTCAATGAATTATGAGCTCTCTTTTTTTAACATTTTATTTTTGCAGTTTCAGTCCTGTCTCGAAACAGTCCTTTGTAAACTGCAGCAGTACACTTGGTAGGAATATAATGTGGGATTAGAAAAAAAAAAAAAAGAAACTTTGAGATTTAGCATCTGGGACTGTACAATAGGCTACATTTTTCCAGGGTAATTGTTCGTTTTGTAAATCTGATACTGCTTATAATTCTTTGGCTGGGAGGCGGTACTGGGATTTAGTTTTAAATGGAAAACGCCTCTGGCTTTTAATTTTCTGGGCCCAGCAGTTTTCTGTTCTGGAATGGAGCCCTTGTTTCACACAGTTCATGTTTAGCTGCAGGGGTTTTAGTTTATAGCTTAGACTGGTTAAGCTTTTACTCCCAGAGGCCTCTGCATAGCAACTGTAGAAATCAACAAATAAGTTCATTTATGTCTGCAGCCTCCTCTCAGTAGCTGACTTTTTACATTTCCCAATATCCATTTCCTGACTTTTCTAGCCTGAGAGAAAAAAGCTCCACTAATTGGAGCTTATTTTAATTGAGCCTTAATATTGGATCTCACTGGAGTTGCCCCCAGAGCTACTGGGAACAGAATGAAATGAAAGTACCTAAGGTTGAAGATGTGTGTGCATGTGTATGTGTGTGTGAAATTTTTCACTTGACCTACAGATTCTTGTCCCTGCTGAATAAATCATGAAGCCTGTTCACATTTCTGATTAAGGATCTGACAGCAGACGATAATAAAGACAATTGAGGTGTGAGACGTGTGATACAGAGCTGAAGAAATTGGTTTCTATAGTTACTTGACTGATTTCATGCAATTTTTAAGGATCTTTGTGCTAAATGAGAGTGATTTTCTGAGCAACCTTTTTCCTTAACTGTGCCTCTTGAACTATGAAATTTGTTGTTGCTTAACATTGCTGCACTTGGCTCCTAGGTGCCAGCAGCAGCAGGTTATTTATGAATGCTTTAAAGGCCCTTATTGTTTGGATTAATGTAGGAGCCCAGGCAAAACAAATGGAAATCCAGTAAAATAGTATTTGAATCAATGCTCTGAATTTGCACCATAGTAGATGAAATTTGTAAAATGAGAAAGAAGGAACTTGCTTTACTATCTATCTTTTAATTCTTTGTTTCTGCTTACAACTCTTCCTTCATTGCTACAATCTGTGAGCACAAAGTTGCCCTAAAGCCCTTCCCAGTTTGCCTCTAGTGCCACCAGGATCAACAATCAGTGGGTGATGCTAATCTTTCATGTTTTGTAGGTGACTTTACCTCTGCATCATCTGATCTTTCTAGATGTACTTTCTTTTAATAACAACTGCAAAGCAATTCATTTATGCAGCTTTTTTTCTCTTGTTTTCTGAACAATAATGTGTAAAATCATTAAAAGTATTCTGTGGTTTGCATATTTAGAACACAAAGAAGGTTAGATTAGATTCACTGATATTTTTCATGAGATCTCTTTTAAAAAGTGGCATGGTGGTGTACAAAAAAAGGAGCCAACAGAGCAGGGAAGGCATATAATTTTAGTGCTTGTTGTTATAATATGTCTTGAGTTCCCCTCCTTCAGTGCATCTCATCTTGTGCCAGACTAACACAACCTGCATCACTCTTTGTCCTGTGTGTTTCTCCATGCTGTGCTGCTCCCAGAATGACAGTCTGCAACTGTTCCACCGAAAGAAGAGGAGGCAGGTGTGCCTCTTGGGGCAACATAGATCTTTGTGTTGGTATTCACTTGCCCTCTGTCCTGCTGCTTTGTTCTCCAGAGAATGAGGCAGCCAGAAGCTTCTCCAAGCTTCACATGGAGAATGGGAATGCCCACCATCTGTGCCAGTGGTGCTTCTTCATCTGGGACCATCTCAAGATGGAGAGTGGAAAAGAGAGCAAATGCAGCTGGAAAAAATTAGCACTTTATTGACAGTTTGGAGAAAACTGGTCAGCACACATTTGCATTGAAAAAATGCAAGCATGAATAGGACTGGAATAAGAGCAAAATAAAAGTCAACAAATATCCTAAGACTAAAACTGGTAACACAGAAGCATGATGTACATTGGGATGAAGGCTTGAAATGGCTTACCCTTGTCTGTCTGTCTTGTCATGTTGTGGTTATAGTCTGCTCCTAAGGAACCAAACTTGGAAACTTTGATGCCTCTGTCATCTGGAATCAGATCCTTTCCAGGTCACTCCACTCAAGTATCTGCCGGAAAGTCTGATCTGATTGTCTGCTTATAGTTCTTTAAGAATTAATATGGACCTGCCTTCCTCAAAGCTGTCTTTTGTATGTTGATGGTGACCCCCTGGGAGAAGGAAGAGGGTGTGGAGTAATGGCACTGTAGCATGTTCTAAAGCAAAGTTTCCCAAAATACAGGGTGTACATCCTGATTATGAATACTTATAAATCCAGGATGTGCTGTCATCCAGTAGCTGGAAGCAACATCTTAACATTGCTGGAAGTACATCCAGAGACTCTGCAGTGGATTCTTTTATGCAAAAGGCTATACATAATTGCTGTGACCTTTTCATCCCTTTTTGCATGACCTATTGCCTCAAAGTTCCCCTATGCTAAGTCATTTACTTTCCTATATTCTTAGCCTATGTAGCTTGCCATGAATTAAGTCTATATTTATTTCCCTCTTTCACCTGTTTCAGTAGATTTTAATACCTATGGAAAGTGCACATTCCTTCTGAGACAGCTGCAAGGCTTGCCCCAAGCTGCTGCTTTGTGCACTCAAGAATTTTGTCCTTGCTCTCCTCACGGACCAGCTCTTTGTGCAGTGGTGTTCCTGCAGTCTGGGTAAATTACCCCTGTTTTTCATTCTGCTTTATCTGCCTCTTCAGGCTGAGAGGATGCAGTCCTCTCATTGTCCATGATGTTTGCACTATTAAACCCTGACTTTTTTTAGGTGATTTCTGCTGTTTCCTGTTCTACTTTCTATAGTGCTTCCAGTTACAAAGAAAATGTTCAGTCAGTGTGATTCTTGCTGCTGTATTTATGGTTTATCTGTGGCTTCTTCCCCTTTCCTGAAATGAGCTTTCCTAAATTGAGTAGGTGTAGGATACTGTCAAATGTGCAAGCCAGCCATATGAACAGTTCATTGCAGAAGACCTGTAAAAATGTCAGTATTAAACAGTATGTACTATAATTCTAAATATAAACTCTGATCCCTTAGAATTGTTTAGTTTGGAAAAGACCTCTAAGACCTCTAAGATCACCCAACTGTTAACCCAGCACTGCCAAGTCTTGAGCCATCACTAAACTGTGTTAAGTGCCACATCTAAATATTTTTTAGATCCCTCCAAGGATGGTGACTCAACTACTTCCTAGGACAGCCTGTTCAAACGCTTGACAAACCTTTTGGTGAAGGAATTTTTCCCAGTTTCTTTGTACTTCTGTCCATCCTCTTCAAAAGTGGGTGTGCTTTTGTACTACAGCTTCAGGAAGCTTAAGGCTGAGCCTGGGCAAACCTCTCAGAATGTATCTGGGCAAGATACCTGCTTGTGGTTGAGCAGGTGAAGAGGTATTTTAATGACAGCATCTTTGCTTATTTCCACAGCAGCCACCTTTATCCCTGCTCTTACCTTGTGTCACCTTGAGGCGCCTGTCAGCACATGAAGGGGAGCAGCTGCATCTGGAGCTAGGGAAGGAGCGTGTGGAGCAAGCACCTGAGGGAAGCAGATCTGCCTGCCCCATTCCTTGCTCTCTCAGGAGCTCTCTTCACTTGGGACTGCACAGATCTTCCCACTCTTTGCTCCTGCCTACTTGATTCACTCGTGCATTTTTTGACACAGATACAAGATGGCAGTAGATGAGATGCTGAGAAAATTCAACACCTTTAGTGTCAGCTGACTGCAAGGAAAATGGCAAACCCTAGGGTTTTTGTAGAGACAAAACAACCTCTATAGAAAACATCAAAGAGCCAGCATGATCCCATGCATTCTTGGTCTTACATAGTAATGACTGAATTTGAGTTGTTCTGTAGTATCTTTTCAACAGTTACCATCTTTTTTTCCTGTTTCATATAATCTTCTAACTCCCTTATTTCCTCTCACTCTCAGGTAACAAGTTACTGTAATTTGATTCTTTGCTGCTTGCCCTACCACCTCCAACTCACATTTTCAAGCTGTTTGTTTTCTTTTTCCTCTTGTGCTGCTTCTCTGTCTAGTCTTCTGGACCCAATGGTTCAAATTATTTAAGACCACTCTTGTGGCAGGGCAGAAGTTAACCTCTCAAAAAAGCAAGTACAGGTTGCTGCAAACAAAACAAGATCTCATAGTTATCAACTGGCTTTTTTTTTTATGAGCCTTCAATGGCAGCCTAAAAGCTTCTGCTTAATTACTTTATTTTTATTATCTTTATTGTTCTGTAGTGTTTCTTACCTGCTTCTGCATGTTTTGAAAAACAAAATAACAAACCATGATAATCAAAGAGACATAAATTTTATTAGCTGCAATGTAGCCTTAAAATTTACAAAGGGCAATCTCAGAGATTTGGTGTGTTACAAGTCTTGTAGAAAGTCAGGCACAGAAATTCCACAATGTGTTAGACTATTGGGCTAGCTACAAAGCGACTGAATGCCTGTTTGGGACACTCATATTGGTGTTCTGAAGGAATGTAAAAAAAGAGCAGCTGAGACACTGCATCTAATACCCTGAAACCATCTGCCTGAAAGCTGGCAACAACTATCTTTAGTGAAAAACAGCCCCACCTCCCCAAACTCCATTAAGCATGTTCTTGGATTTGCAAATAGACTTTTCTCCATTTGTCTGAGAGAAAGAGAATGAAATAAAACTGGTTGTAAGTATGGCTTTGGATTAGAAAT